ATCAGAAAGCCGCATTTCACAGATTAAAATATTTGCTTTCTCAACAACCAGTTTTAAGTATTTTTAATCAAAAGAGTCCTATCGAAATTCATACCGACGCATCCATTGATGGCTTGGGGGCAGTCCTACTACAAAAATTATGAATAAAAGTTTCCGATTTCCTAATTCCTAGTGAGTTGCATGCCCAGATGGTTCCCCTCGGAGAGGACAGGACTAGGCGAGCGGAGAGCTCGCTCGATCCTCTATATTTCTAATTGTAATTCAGTAATCTATGTTTGTGAATAGTAATAAATGTGTGTTAACAACTATGGTCGTTGCCTTTCCCGCCTTTTGTGCATGCGTTAATCAAACCCTAGACACCAGCAGTCACTAAAGACGTTCAGAAAGCTAACAAAGGTAAGACGTGCCTTTATGACTATTTAATATTCTTCTTCAAGGCGGACGACTTATGTGAATGAAGACGTGCCTTTATGACGATTTAATATTCTTCTTCAAGGTGGCCGACGTATGTGAATGAAGACGTGCCTTTATGACTATTTAATATTCTTCAAGCTGGATGACATATGTGAATGATGTTACGTGATACTTGACCATTCTTCTGATTTTGGATTACATTGGATTGGCAAAGAAATATATTGGATTATAAGGACTGCCCCGAAGTTAGGTAGGCCCCTCTTTCTCTGATTTGTTCATAATTTATTAGTATTATGATTTTAAGCTGTGTTTATACTGTTTAATTCTCATTTATACATACCCTATTTCATACTCATATTGTCCTATTTTACTGTTTCAAGAACTATGGCCCTAAAATTAGGTCATATCCTATTGATCACGAATTTTCTTAAATATGGCACAACATGAGTTATTATTTAATACCATGCTCGGATATTTAGATTTTGATCATTCTTTACGAAAGAGAATGCGAAATTTTTCCGCGTTTCCAGACAGTTTCGATTTGGCAAAACATAAAGAACTTCTATTAAAAGATTTTTCTTTACCCTATACATGGTATTCTTTAAAATTTATCTTTGCTATGTTAATTTATTAAAGCGAAGTGTGCGAAGTTCGTAGATTCGTTCGCTGCCTAGATTGTGCAATTCGTAGATTTTTTTTAAGTTAAAACATATCGCTGTATACATAGATTCTTGCCAAATATTTGTGGTTAGAGACTTTACGTTTTTGCTATCTAAATTTTTTGTTTTTGTTTTGGATTTTTAGCTTAAATTGTTTGTTTAAAACTTTTTTCGCATGTGCTAAAACCACGTTTTTGGAGACATTTTAGACTTAAAGTTTGAAATGTAGACATAAAATTTAGATAGTAATATGGCACTGTGGAGATTCTCGCCAATCGCCAAAAATATTTGGCGAGAAATTTGTCACCAAGTGAGGGTGTATATAAGAGTAGTTCCTAAAATTCATTTTAAATCAGTTTTAAAATTTTTTTGGGGGAAAAGAGTTTTTCATTCTGTTCTTAAATACAGATGTCGCGCAAAAAAATCATTAAATTGCATTCGATAGCGGTGAAAATGTATATTTTCGTTGAAATACGATATCCAAATTTTTTTTGCGATTACAATACTAAACTTTACTTCTAAGTAAAATTATCCAAAAACACACAAGCCTCAAAGTTAAAATGTCAGTCAAACTAAGAACCATCAGTATAAATGTGCAGAAACTGAGTAAGCAGATATCTGGCCATAAAGCAAGACATTTCAAAACACTTGGTGCAACATCTCTCCTTCTATGGATGGTTTCCACTAGGTCTAGCTTTACATCAATATTAATCACCTCCAAAGGGTTTCTGGTTGTATATTAGCTAGGATCCCAAGATCTTTCTTAATGTCCAAGACTTTTTGAATAAATACACACTGGGTTTTAAATTTTCTAGGCTTGACAATGCAGTCCCTCCAGTAGGGATCCGCTAGTCATAGCTTTCTATAGAAAACCAATGCCTTCATACCGTCTTTTTCTGAAAATAAGACATCCCCCGAAAATAATCCCTAGTTAAAATAATGTGACAAAAAGAATTCGTTAAAAAAATGCTGTTGATTTATTAAGTAATAATATGTTTAGCTTTCCTAATACTCGTATTTCAGAGAAATGTTTGAAACAAAATATTCCGAGAAATTAATCGTTTACCTCTACAGTTCGTTTCAAATTAATTCTTGAAATTTATCTTAATCAGTTCACTGTTTGCCCCGAGAGAGATACGTTCACAGGAAAGGCATCGGCAAACTCTCGTCGGGGTGAAATTTGGGCTGAACCCCTGAGACACATACGACGATAACTATATCGCAAGACATAAGAGATTCGGACTAATGATTCAACAGGAAATGGATTTGGAAGAAAATCAGAATATAATTCAGAATTTTATTTATGACGATGTTCCAGAAGAAGATGACATGACTGTAATTGAATAAATTTAAATTTCTGTATTCTGTGTAAAATAAATATTAAATAAAAATATGCTTTTATTTTTGCCCTTCCCCGAAAATAAGCCCTAGCACGTATTTTGGACCAAAAAAGAAAGTAAGACAGTGTCTTATTTTCGGAAAAAGACGGTAATATCTTGGAAGATATATTCTTGGTAATATCTTGGAATATCATTCTTGTCAACAACAACATTGCATCGATAAGTGTGGACTTCACAAATCCTGTAATCAAGCAAAGAGCTTGATTTTGCACCACTTCAAGTTTATTAATCACCGATTGTGAGGCTGCGATGAGAGTTTCATAACAATAGGTCATTAAAGGCAGAAAGGATATAAGTATTAAATACAATGTTAAGCGCGGACTGAGTGCTCCCTCAAATACTTCCTGTTGAATGCTTCAGAATACTAAGTCCATTTGACAATGTTGGTAAGCTGCTCAACATGAAACTTTTAACTTAATTTATTATCACCTGCATTGTCACTCCCAAAAAACATTGGCAATCAAAGTATCTTGGTACTTTAGCTTTAGGCAAAAAATTTCATGGGTTAGAGGAAAAATTGTGAAGCTGTCTTTTCCAAATTCCCAGTCATATATTTTTCACATTAGTTTAAGAGTACCTGCAGGGCGTTATTTAACTGACTTTCAATACATTTTTTCACAATAGTTTGGAGCCTGAGACCAGATTATCAAATTATTAGCAAATAGTAGATAATTAATACCAGGTGTAATTTAAGAGAAGAAACTAGATCATTGACATATATATTAAACAAGGTGCAACTAACAACTGATCTCTGAGTTCAGTTCCAGTTTGTAAATTAAAATATTTGGAGAAGAAATCTCCAAATTTTACCCTGCTTGTGAGAGACCTTTGATGAAATACTCAGAAGCTTCTGGTAGAGCTTTCCTTCGAGAAAGAATCATAAGCCCCTTTAAAGTCAACAGAGACAGCTGGCAAAATGCTTCTGTTATCCAAGCATCCTTTAAACTGTCTGGATTTTGTCGCCTGCTGACAAGTTGATCTATTACTTCGGGAACTAGCCTGTTCTACAGCTAAAATACTAATACTATATTCCTCAAGATACCAGTTCAAATGGTTTACCACAAGCCTTTCCATAGTTTTTGTAAGAATACTCATAAGCAAAATGCGCCGATAGCTGTCCAGGGTTCTTATTTCTCTTTAGAACTGAAATAACAATCACTCTTCTCCAATGTGCGAGAATCTGAGCTTACTCCCATACTTGATAAAAGACATTCAATAATGTTTTTCTTTCCTCACTGCCCAGATGGATAAGAAACTCTGTATGGATATTATCTAAACCAGAAGATTTCTTCAATTTAATTTGTCTAAGTGCGAGTTCCAGTTCTTGTGCAATAAAGAGAGCATCAAAGATAACCTTCCACTTTAAGTTTATCATTATGCATTTTTAATAATTTTTCCATTTATTATCTTTGGCATTTCTCCCGTATATTTTTGCCTTTTGCCTGGAATTGGGGATAGGGCTGTAAAAGATGTTTGCAATGGCCTTCTCCTAAAATAGTAATTTATTTCCAATGGAAATCAGATTCTTTCTACATGAGGGTTTACGATTTTGGAGTAAAAAAGATTAATTTACTTTTAATCAAAAATTGATAAATTGCAATATAAATAAAGTGCATAATAAATTATTACATTGTATAAAATTTTCTTTATCTTCAAACACAGAATTTTAAAGGAGAACATAAAGGTAAAATTGATAGTTATAATCATTTATTTACTGATACAAAATTAAGAGCTGATGTCTGTCTGATGTAATAATATATACATACATGACTGAATGCATTCCATGAAATTGAACAAATGCAAAACTTATGTATAATGTTTATTCTATAAAATGCAAATGATTAAAAAGGAAGCAGAAGACAAACGAAGCATCATGAAGATTTCCTATAGCACATGTGTTAAAGGAATATAAATAAATCCAACATTCTGAAGTCTACAAATGCTGCATATGACAAACAGCTATAATTAAAAACAAAATTTTATTTGAAAAAAAATAAAATAAAAAGGTCATAAAAAATCTAAAAATGTTAAATATAAACATCTCACAAATGTTTGAAGTAAATTTTATTACAATGTGTACATAGATAAAGTCAAGGGAGTGCACAATGCCATTTTTGTGCAATCATGGAATGTTTTTTAAGTTAAAATAGGTCAATATGTACATGGATGCTGAGAATGTGCAATTCTTAAAAACATGCCAAACAGTGGGTGATTCTGCACTTTCCCCATTTTTTGCATGTTTACAGAATTAATTCAAATTTGCAACCATCTAATATGTCAATATAATGAGTTAGGGATTTTCTAAAACATACGAAAATAACCAATTTCGTGATTTTTTGAAAACGTGCCAAACTGGACCATAATATTCAGTTTTACCAAAATTTTATTTTAAGAAAAATGATCCAAGAAAATTAGCCTTATATTAGTACAGAAACAAAAATAACATTTGTCTCACAGTAATTATAAATTTATAAATCAGTTTTAAAAACATTTTAACATGTAAATATGAGTCTTATTAAAGCCGTACCTGGTGAAACTGGCCTTTTATGCAAAGTGAAAGCTAAAGCAAAATCTCTGACATTTGTATTCAAAGTTATGTTTCTAGCAGATATGCTTCTCAAGTGACGTAATCGGCGCTGTAAAATAAAATTATGACAGAAGTTATAAATAGAAAAAAGTGGGCTTATCTTTGGAATATGGTAACAGGTAGTTTGGCGACATTTTGGAGGCGATAAAGGATACTACCTAGGACTTTGGTAATAATGTGAGAAGTACTCAGTTCCGATTACGCATTATTTTGTGTGAGGGAAATGAGAGATCATGAGATATGTCATGTGACATTAATGGACGAATTACAGTTCTTTAATCGGAAAAGGGGGTAAATTTGGAAAAATTATTTTGTATTAAGCTTGATTGTGTGTTGTGTGAAATAGTGTTGATTAATTTTCGGATTGCATGGCGCTATGTAAAGTGAATTCTAAATTTGGAGTGCAAGGAAGGGTACATGGTTTGCTGAAAGTAGTTTGAGTATGGGTGAAATTTTATTAATTTTTATTACTTGGTGAATAGACTGCCAGTTGACTACTGGATTTCGGATTTAGAAATTAGCAGTAGTACTGCAGCCGATTGGAACTCTTTCTGTAGGGAAGTGTGCGTGCCACGTAATGAAGATTCTGAAGAAGATTAGGTAAGTTAGTATTTTTAATCATTTGAGGATATTATTTTTATGCATTGTTCTAAATGTAAGGAGTAAATAAATTAATATGGTATTATTGGAATATTGTTATTAACAATGATTTAGTTTAAAGTAATTAGGATTGAAATCCAATTTTTATTAATTTAATGTATGTACTTATTTATATTTTAATTTAATTATATTTTAATTTAATGATCGTGAGTTACATGTTTGTAGTATTTTGGAATACGCTTGAGTAGTATGCGTTGAGTATTTTCATGCATTTTCGTGAAATTTTTCTAATTTATGAGAAAAAAGCAGTGTACATGGATATAGTGAAGAATGTGCGCAATGCCATTTTTGTGCAATTCTGGGATGTTTTTTAAGTAAAAATAAGTCGACGTGTACATGGTTTAGTTATATTTTAATTAAATGATAGTTATTTTGTGAATTTTATGTTTGTAGGAATTTGGTATACGTTTCAGTTAAGTAAACGTGTATGGAAATAATTTAAATATTTGACACTAAGTATTTTGTAACTATTTTTAATGTTTGCATATAAATTTTGTTGGTGACGTTTTAATATAATAGATAATTTAGAGGTAAAAGCTTTTGGATATTTTATTTATTTTATACGTGGAAATGTTCATTCTTGGAAAGGGTATATACTTTTTCGCGATCAGGTAATTTCATATATGTGCTTTTTACCGGATTTAAAGATTCACAAAATTTTCATGCACTTTTGTGAAATTTTTCTAATTTATGACAAAAAAGCAGTGTACATGGATATAGTGAGGAGTGTGCGCAATGCCATTTTTGTGCAATTCTGGGATGTTTTTTTTAAGTAAAAATAAGTCGACGTGTACATGGTTTAGTGATATTTTAATTAAATGATAGTTATTTTGTGAATTTTATGTTTGTAGGAATGTGGTATATGTTTCAGTTGAAGTAAACGTGTATGGAAATAATTTAAATATTTGACACTAAGTATTTGTAACTATTTTTAATGTTTGCATATAAATTCGTTGGTGACGTTTATAATAGATAATTTAGAGGTAAAAGCTTTTGGATATTTTATTTATTTTATACGTGGAAATGTTCATTCTTGGAAAGGGTATATACTTTTTCACGATCAGGTAATTTCATATATGTGCTTTTTACCGAGTTTAAAGATTAAGAAAATTTTCCTGCATTTTCGAGCAAATTTTTGTAATTTATGAGAAAATAGCAGTGTAGATGGATAAAGTTAAGAGTGTGTGCAATGCCATTTTTTTGCAATTCTGGGATGTTTTTTTTTAAGTAAAAATAAGTCGACGTGTAAATGGTTTACGTGTATGTGCTATTCTGAAAAACACACAAGGAATTTGCGATTGTGCACTTTTTCCCAATTTTGCAGTTAATATTTGTCATGATTAAGCAGTTTTGTTGCATAAAATTTCTAGCATAAGTGTAATTCGGCTAGTAGATTGTTGGAAAAAGTGTTGAGTAAATAAAAAGAAAAGAAACATGTCTTTACTTTGTGAAGACAAAATGGCGGCGAAAAAAAATAGAGGTTTGCTGTAGCAGAGTTGGTCGCCAAATTATCGCCAAGTTACCATAATCCAAAGATCAAACAAAAAGTGTCAAATAAATTGACATTAAAGAAGAATATAATGAAACTTTAAGAAAATACTGAATTAAACAGTTCTACAGATTCAAAGACAAGTAACATAACGTTATAATAAAGCTTTATGCTGAAACATGAAAAGAAATGTTAATGTATTTTAAGATACAAATCTGAACATCTTATTCCTAAAATGAAAGAGGAGACTAAATGTACACATGTTAGATCAATAAATTTCAAAATGTTTCAGTATGCCCTACCATTAAATCATTATCATTTTTGTTGCTTAACAGATTATAACAGCTGTCAAGATTACTAGTTGATAAGAATTAGTTTGAAACAGTCTAAATCTGCATTATATTACTAAATTTTTTACAAACTACATTGTTTATGTTTCTAGTCACCCAGATGAGAGACAACAAGCTTAAAATGATTTATTAACACTCACGCGAATAAATGAATTAAAAAATGAACACCCTTCCTTCAATTAACAAAAAGTATACTATTTAATTACATGATTATTTAGTTAAATAATATTAAAAAATTTTAATTTGTTCACTACAAATATTTGAAATACTGATATTCCCAGTATTCATGTTATTGAACAGAAAACCCATAATATTCATGAATGGTGGAGTAAATCATTTACTGCCTTATGTATGGCATGGACTAAAACATGAGAAGATAGCTCGCAGATACATAATGCTGGCCTTTAACAAAAGTGAGCAAATTGGTGAAAGAACAGGTTTTTAAACCAATAAAACATCCAAATGCTTCAAAAAAGAAATTCTATAACCATTTTCCAAGAATTTTCACAATACAGTGCTTTAGCATTTTTTATTAGATATCACCGTATACTGTCATTGGCCAGCAATTTCACATTAGCAAATTTCAGTGTTTTGTACATGGTTATTTGTATTTTAAGTGTTCATGATTCCAAATGTTACTTTGGAAGTTACTTCAGACCAACAGACTGTTCTTCTGAAGCTATAAGATGTTTCCTTTTCTGGTCTCTCTTTTCGCAATACTCTATTACACAACAAAAATAATTCAAGCCACATCAATAACACATTCCACTAAATAAGTAATTTATGAAAAAACCTGTCAGTATGCACTGGAGTAAGTTTTTCTTTCCTTCTTTTTTCTCCATTTCTCTTTCTTTCTTTTTAGCCCAAAGGGGCAACCCAAAAGGGCTATTAATTTTGTTTTGGCATTTTGCGTTGATTCACTATAAACAGCGAATCACTTTTTAATTTGTCCCCACCAAATATTGCAGCCATGTATTATATTTAAATAAATTAGGTAATGAAGAATCTGCATAAATGCATGCATATTTCTTGCATTGTGATAAAACAACGGTACCTAGAACGGTGCTACCAAAGTAGCACCCCTAAGGCCATCAAATTTTGAATAACATACCAATGTTTCTTTCTTATTAGCAAAAAACCAATGTTTCTTTCTTGTTAGCAAAGTGATTAAAAATATTAAAAATATTCTTAATATAGTTTTTGAATCTGGATATGGTTGAACTAAAACTATGAATTATCTTTAGAAAATTTTACAGCTCCTTAAATCTCTATAATTACCATAGTTCCACGATCTTTTTTCACCAGTCAGAAATGAAGAATCAAAAGTTTAAAAAAGAATTATTTTAATACAGTAGTCCAACTAGAGTACAATGAAGGTCATAAAGTATAAAAATCCCCAAAATCGAATTAAAATAACTTTAAAGTATTACAAATATTTAAATAAATAATACATACTTTAAATTTTTTACAGAAACACTAATGGTATTTAGAATTAAAAACAAACATCAGTTCCAAGTAACTTATTGTTTTATATACTATAGTGAGTCAAACATATAATGAAAGGACAATAGCCTGTCTGAACATGACGAACTGATTAAGAAAGATGATTAACGAAAATAAAATAGTTGAACTTGTAGCACTCGGAATGGAACACAGTGTCAAGATGTAGCATGCTTTTTATTGCTATTAAATACAGTTTTTTAAAATGATGATGGTTTGCAAAATTGAAAGTCTTAATTTCTTTTTTAAAAACCATTTCTAATTTTTTATATTTAATCTAATACCCCTGCTATCCATTTACCTGAAGCAAGTTCCTCACCTTTGTGCTGGTTCTGCTATTACATATTCTCATTGGAATGTGGATTTCTTTTAAAGAAATATCATTGTGATAGTTACCTGTAGTTTATCTATGACTACTTTTTTCATTTCTTATATTCTTACTGTAACTTCAGAAATTACAACTATTCACATAATTTTCCCCTCTCGATTTTCAGGTGATAAAATTAATTAAAGAAAGGAGGATTGTGAAATGAAATACAATATCTAAATGAAATGAATTAATATATAAATTTCACCTGTTGGGTAATGAGAGGAACATGCCGTCGCCGTATTCTTGTATCAAGATGATATTCTGATACTGCCATTTCCAGGAAAACATAAAGTACAACAGTCTAACATATTTCACTTTTCATACCTAAATAAAAAGTGGGAAGCATGTTATCATTTTCCAAAGAAGTAGGTTAAATAAAGGCAAAGCTTTACACATTTTATAAGACAAAATAAATATATCTATAGAAAACAATGCAGCCTAATAGTATATAGCATAGAATAATTGTCGCTTAAGTGGAAAAAATTCACTGGAAACGTATTTAAAAATACAGTAAATTTAAATAAAACTACGCTTTTACTTAAAGTAAATTAACAATAAAAAGTTTAGAAAACGTGTAATTTGTAGGAGTTTTAATCACATTATCAGATATAAATAAAACTCTAAAATGTAAACAACATACAGATGATCTGCATCTACAAGTCTTTCCATTCTTCGTTGTAATTAAAGAATAAATTGGCTTGTATATAATGATATTTACATAAAAAATATTTAATATTTCAAAATTATGTTCTCTTTATTCGCTAATGAATATGTAAGCTAATCAGATTTCTATAACAGGCCACAATTTGTATTCGTAATATAAAATCGTAAAAATGTTAAATATAGACCAACAGGGAAAATAAACGACAGAAAAGAATGAAGTTAATTATACTAGGCTGTAAAAAGTAAAATTTTCTACTAATACATGATCAAAATTAACAAGCCACTGTTAACTGTAATATCTACACACTTCGAACAGAAACAGCCATTCGGTCACGTTATTTTGAATTATCATTTATCAAAATACAGACGATACGAAACACCCTTCCATAGAGTAGAAGTTGATTGTTGCCATTTATAATCAATCTAATACATGTTTAATACTTGGCAACAAAATAAGTAATTTAATGGTAGCTGTCTAAAAATCATTATATACAACTTGGAAAGTGTCTGCTTTTAAACTGAAGTTATTGAACAATTACGGAGATTTATGAATCAGATATATATTATTGATAGTTACACATGAAGCCATATTAATTTAAATTAATTATATTACTTTACTGAAAGACCCAAAAATGTCGAAATTACTAGAAAACTTTCTTGTAGCTCATAATAAGTTTCTGAATAATCAGGCAGACTCATTCTTTTAATTAAAATTAAACATTTGAAGCAGTTTTATTTGCTGCTGCTGTGTCGATGGTAAAATTGTTCAGCTGCTCGTGATTTCTCACATTCAGATTTTACTATTATATTAAATGGTTCTATTCTTTATAGTTATCAGTGATGTAATTATTTTACAACGAGAATCAGATAAATCATTGTTACCACATGTAAACTTCAAGAAAGTGGAGTTTTCAAGATCTTGGCAACGCGGGGGGTTAATGGTGCTGTTTACCGGTTGATGGGAATGTTGGTGTTTTTAAAAAAATTAAATGTATAATTACGTTTTCGTTTTAATTTAGGAAAAAGACTTTTTGAAAGTCTTATTTAATTACAGATTAACGAAGTGTTAGTAGTTTTATCATTCTGTTCATAAATTGTAGATTAAATACCTCTCTAATTTTGACATCACCTTTTCAGTTTTGCATTTCACGCTTAAAATAATGTAAATAACTATAACTTAACAATTTTAATATTTCGATTCGTAAAATATATGTGTTTCATAATCGATTATTCAAGAGCGTGGTGCAAAGAAAATGTTTCATAAATGCATATTAAGTATAAATAAAATTATTTATATTTATATTCCTGTTAAAATTATATAGATATTATATTTTACCATGTTATGTACGTTTGCTTATGTAGTGCTTTTCTCATTCGTTAAAAATTGTTAGTTGCGTAAAGTATGAACATTTTAAAATTATTTATTTTATTTTGCAAATATTTCGTGTACTTAATGACATACTCCACCTGTAAAAATGAATGAATCATACTAACTTTTAGGTTGTTATTAAATGCTTTTTCCTATAGGATTCAATAAATTTTCCCTTATAGGTTTAAGTCAGGTACAGATTTAAATATATATATATACGCCAGTTTGTAAAGTTCATGCATTAATGCAGGAAAAAGATGAGTATAATTTGTAATGTTATTTAAACAGTGATTTTCCCCATCTAGATTTTTTTTTTTTTTTTTTTTTTTTTTAATATAGTTTTCTATAAATTTACCATGGGTGATAATATTGAAGAAAAACCTCCTGCTCCTCCTGTGCGCCTCACTAGTACAAGGTATGATGTTTTTTATGTAAATTATCTTGTAGTAGTACAAGAACTTTAATTTCTTCATGATCTTGAATGTGGGATTTTATAATTGAGAGTTGTGTAATTGATATTTAGTGTAACTTGTTAAACTATAATTATTTAGTTTTTTTCCTCTTTCTTTCTTCAAAAAAAAGTAAAAAGAGTTTACTCAAAAGATTTTGTTTGTTTTGAAAAGATATATAAAAAATGCTGTTTCATATAATGAAAATATATTTATGTAGTAATATTTTGTGAGTGAAAATGCATACAGAGGCAGTATTGTCTAGAAAAATATATGAAAAAAAGTGTGATAAATAAATATTATTGACTTCAGATTTAATTACATTCTAGAGATCAGTGAAATAAGATACTATTCATTGCATCTAATGTTATTTAAAAATCATCCAATTATTTATCAGATTACATTAAAATTTTAGGAATTATCATCGTTATCGGTTATAAATCTTCAAATAATTAAAATTTTAGTAATTAAATAAAGTAAAAATAATAAACTCATTCTTTGAAACTCCTGAATTTCCTTTAATTTCTGAAAAAGTAAAAATAGATAAACCTGTTATTTATAATTTATATGCTGACAACATTATTTTTTGATAAAATTCATGTGAAATTCTGATGTAATATCCTGAAAACTAATTAATGCCATTTTTCAAAGTTTTAATATATAAAATGTCATTTTTTTTCCATCAAAAAATTTCAAAATATATGTTGCATTTTTACTAATGAGAAGTTATTCTTTCTCTTTATATTCAGTGGAAGAATCGCTTGTATTGATTTATTGACAATTTAATGTATTTTTAATTAAGTTTACTTTGGTTAAGTTATCCATTTCTAGTATTTTGACGATGTTCTAAGAGTTGCAGGGTTCTTTTTCTCTGACATCACATTTTTCGACAAAATTTTGTACTAATGTTTTATACATGCATCTTTTTATATTTACATTTTCGATTACAATAAAAGATTTAACACTTATAAAAGCAGCATAATCTTTATGAAAGAGAGAAGCATGTAAATTGTATCCTTTTCCATCAAAGAATAATAATAAAAGATTGGTAGTTTTTAAAAAATATTTTCTTTTCCAATATTGTCTGTAAAATTTATGACTTGGTCCTAAGAGCTGTATTTTTAATTTTAAGAAGTGGGAGAATTTATAATATTCCTCAGCAGTAAGTCTTGATGCAGTCAGTCATGCAAGGTGTTAAGACTTTTAAAGGCCCTAAGCACTTAAAAGATTCTGGGGCCCACATATGTTTGTGCCAGTTTTTCTTTTCTTCTTGGTTTTGCCTCATGCATTCCATGGTAAGACAAGGAATGATAAATGTTTTGGTATCCCCTTTCCTGAATACCAGGGCATCTTTTCCCGATGCCCCCTTTCTCTGATACCGTAATTTGTGCTGATATTGGTTAATGGTTAAGCCAGCCCTATGTTTGGGTTCACCAGCAGCTAAACGGTAAAGTCGATTAACAGTGGTAGTTCAGTCTAGGGTTCAAATCCTGATGAACAGCCTGGCTGCATAAATGTAGTATTTCATCTCGATGTACTCCGTCTTTGATATGATTTAAATCAAATTCCTCGTCATTATAAATATCACGAATACACATCAAATAGTTTTCTGGTTGTAATTTTCTAATTTCGACTATGCATAATGTATGCTTTCTTTACACATGCGCGCGTTGAAAGAAATGTTTAATAAAGTAAAAAAATAAATATTGAGCTTTTTTTTTTAATTTTGATACCCTTTAGATCATAATTCCTCTTTATTTCATAAATTGCATTTTTAATTTTATAATTTCTGCATCCCAAACTGATGATCTATAATCCGGAATCACCGAAGTCCCGACGAGTCCGGATTAAAGACTTTTGACTGTATAATAGGAAATAACAATCTAAGATTATTGTTTTAATTTAGATGAAAGATTAATTTCATATAATCCTTTTTTATTATTATAATTTATATAAAAAAGGCTAAACATAAGTAAATGGAAGCATAAAAGTAAATAACTATTTCAGATCATTATTATAATATATATAAAGAAAGGCTAAACGTAACTAAATTGAAGCTTAAAAGTAAATAACTATTTCAGATCATTATTATAATTTATATAAAAAAAGGCTAAACATAACTGAATGGATTCTTGCATCGCTATTTCGCTACCGAGTTATTGCTGAAGCATAATTCCATCTCGTTGGGGTTGTTCAAACATAATTTTCTATAATGAATGATGCCTTTTCTTTGTAAAAATTATATTGCAGACTTTTTGTCATGGGCACGTCCCAAATTGTTAAATCCACAGGATATCAAAAAAGGATTTAAAAATTAAACTAATATTTCAATAGTGTCTTAAGAAATATAGAACTGTCTAAACTTACGCAATTTTAAATCAGCATTTATGTTAGATTTTACGTGCTGTTAAATGGGCCCTTTGCTAGATTTGGCACTTTTGTGCATACAGTTTCGCTGCAATTTTTTTACGGTCCTCAAAATGGAATAGTAGTAATTTTCCCTTGAAATCAGTGGTTTTATTTAAAATTTGAAAAAATCTAAAGTTTTTGTTTGCCTGATTGTACTGTAATAATTCCAGCACCCAGTGGACCAAGCACTTCTTTCCATCAATATTGTGTCAGATGGAAAATAAGTATTTTAGGAGAGTTGACACAATACCTTGTAAATGATAGGATCTTCATTTGCCATCTCTTCATTTTCAATTCGACTCTCACTGGGTTGTGTAGATGTGGTGGTCAGTACAGGATGTATTTATTGATCACTGAACAACAATGCAGGGGAAAAGTATATTTTAGTGTACCCCTTGGCGAAACTTGGTGATTTTTGGCAGTACATGGATACTGAGTTTGTGCAATTGTTTGATTTGTTATTTTGGCTTGCATAGCGGCGATTTTTGGGTCAAAAATCGCCGCTACACAAAGCCAAATTAACAAGAGAATGAATTGCATAAACTCGGTATCCATGTACACATCAACCTATTTTCACTTAAAAAACATCCCAGAATTGCACAAAAATGGCATTGCACGCTCTCTTGACTTCATCCATGTACACATCGACCTATTTGCACTTAAAAAAATTCAGAGAATTTCACAAAGTAGGCTTACTAGGCCTTTTGTCCATGTACACATCAAACTATATTCACTTAAAAAGTTAAAAGAGCTGCCAACAAAAAATATATACAGTCAAAATTCTTTAATCCGGACTCGTCAGAACTTCGGCTATTCCGGATTATCGATTTTTCTGGATTATAGATCATCAGTTTAAATCTGGTAAGATGGCTTGCAGAAATTATAAAATTAAAAATATTAACCGTAATTTATGAAATAAAGAGCAATTATGATCTAAAGGGTATCAAAATTTACAAAAAAAAAAAGCTTAATATTTATTTGTTTACTTTATTAAACATTTCTTTCAACGTGTGCATGCGTAAAGCGTACATTACACATAGTCGAAATTAGAAAATTGCAACCAGAAAACTATTTGATTTGTATTTGCGATATTTATAATGACGAGGAATTTGATTTAAATCATATCAAAGACAGAGTACATCGAGATGAAATACTACATTTAGTAAGGAATTATAAGCCGAATAAAATAAAAACATGTGCTCTGAAGATAAGGATAGTGCTGACAGATTAACATCCAGTTCATTGCGCACTGCAACATCCCCCCCCCCCACGCAGAGCAGCATGAAATTGATAAACAGATTTCGGAATGGTTAGAGAAACAAAGGAGCCTTTATCAATTTTTTGCAGCAATTCTACTTTTTGTTTGATGGACTTCGAAACATGCTTTCTCTTTGTAGTTCCAGCATCGGAAATTCTATTTGACATAATCGAAAGTTCCAACTTACTTTTTAGAATTGCTCTAAGAGTCTGCAAAAAATAATAAGCCAGATCCAATTTGAAGATTGAGGAACAACACAATCTACAACATTAACTGAATTAGATAATTTTAGCTTAGCTTATACCGTCCGTTATACATTAATGTATTATGCGCATGTGTAAAGGTATTACGTGGCATTGACGCATGCACAGAAAGTTTGTAATTTTGAGGTCCGAAGTATGGGTGTCCGGATTAGCGACTTTTGACTGTAATCTGAATAAACTACATTTTAAATCAAACAATGAAATAACATTGTAAGAATTATGTTAATTTTATTAACAGTTAAATTTTAAGTTAAAGTTCCTTTCCTGTCAAATTCTTAACTTCAACTTACTACTTCCGGCCAGACGTAGTTTTGAAATCTTGCTGAATATTTAATGAGGAGAAGCGGTATTTAAACCACGAAGTTACTTACTGAGTCAGAGAGAATCAGAGTTTCTGATTTATGCACGTCTGCCTTTTTGGCCACTCTCTCTCTCAAAGCTGTTATTACGCTCGGCCGTACTCAGGCTTACTAGCTTCGTAGTCAAATAAGTTAAGGGACCAACTCGATTTGAACCTTGACAGCTTCGGCTATACTTCTTTAGTTAATCTTAGTTTTAGTTTAATTCTTAGTCTTTTAAGTTCAAGTCCAAGTGCGGGCTTTGCTTGTACACTCGTAGGCGGAGTTTTGTTAAATCTTATTGGAATAGTAAAGGGTTAGTTACCCTTCTATCTTGTTGTTTCTTGTCACCGAACTCGATTATTCACTTATCAGTTCTTAGATTCTTCACTTCCAACATTAACTTAGAATTCCAAAGTGAGGAACTCTACAACATAAAAAAGGAAATTTATCTTATGCATCTAAGCACTACACAAAGCAAATATCCACTTACCTTATTTATGAATTTACGCGTCTTCAGTCAAACACAATTTCTTAACAGCATCCAAACACTTCCTAAAATTATCTGAACTAGAATCTGTATATTGGTTAGCCACATAAATTCACAAAAATAAGAGTAAAAAATATCCTCCGTTCGAAAATATCCGATGCTCGACCATACGCTTTCCCTTCCTGTAGGACACTTAACAATGGCTACT